ACACTCCTTCTATGCTTCACCTGATAAGACTACTTATCTCTGTTTCTGTCTTCTTCCCACGGTTCTTGCTACCAGCTTAAACCCATGATAAAACTTCTATAACTTTACCTAAAACTATTTAAATGCCCTATAGTTTCCGGCCAAACTATTTAAATGCCCTATAGTTTCCGGCCAAACTATTTTAAAATGCCCTATAGTTTTCCCGCCTAAATTATTTCTCCTTATTTTTGAAAAGTACTTTAGTTAAGTTTACCTTGTCTTTCTAGGACTTTTTTGGTATCCTCCGAACCAGGGTCTTGAAACCAAAACGATCCCTGTATTGACGTTCTCTCCCCGGGTCGGTAGTTCTATGGATCCGTCACTCCTCTCCTCTCCAGCGAAACCTGGCCCCCCTATTTTCCAAATTGCCTCTTTTTAAATGAAACAAGGTAGGGGTCTTTACCAAGAGTCTGTGACCCCCCCGTGCACGGTATCAGGCTTGTTATCCGGAGAAGAAATTAGGTCTTGGATTCGGCTCGAAGGTCCAATTATATTAGGAAAATATCACTCGACACCGGGTTGAGAATCAATAGTCAGGTACTAATTTATTCTTGCAAGAAGGAGCAGAGTTAAGTCACATACAAAGGATATGGTTCAACTCACACACCTGAGGTATGCTGCTCCAAGCTTATATAGTCTAAAGTGAGGAGGTAACAACAAAGTCGTAAAACGGTTTGGTGTCGGGACATCTCAAGTCACATACTTCCTTCGGGCCACTGTTGCGCTTTGCCCCTCGAAGAAGTGAGGAGACAAGAAGAGTGCGTCCTCTCAACATGAATTATGCCCTGCCTTCTCCTATCTCAGAAGAGGCAGCTGCAAGGTCATACACAGCGCAAAGTCACACAGTGTCAGTGCATTAAAACCCATAAGAGGAGACAACTTGCATTTTCTCAAACAGAAAGGGCAGATTTTTTTCGGCTGCGTATTTTCAAATTCTAGCGCACTCGAGCTGGTTTCTCCATTCTTACCTACCCTACCTTTAGAGCATTCCATGGAATATAACAAAAAGTGTTTCTGAAGTGAATTACCTACCCTACCTTTTAAGTGAATTTGTGGCCATATATTTCTCCTAAATGCAGCAGATGTTAGCATTGGAGAAATATGGAAGTGGATTAGAGCCACATGAGAAAAGTAATTTGGGATGTGACAAAAAGAAAAACTTTACTTTGAGACTTTAATCTCAGAACTCAAAAATAAAATCTATTTTGGTCAGATCTAAAAAAATTAAAAAATCACCAGGCCTTAATCCTCTTCCGTAGATAACAACTACTTTGTATATTTACACAATCTTTTTTAATTTGTTGTAGTACAAAACACAATGTTCTTTTCGTCTCTTCATCTTCAGGTGGTCTAGAGAGAGAAGCGTCCTGCTGGTGAAGTCTTTGGAGAGAAGTAAATGGGTCGAGATCCGACCGCTGCCACATGCCAAGAACTTCCCTGTGTATTATGATGTAGGTCTGCCATTATGCTTTTTAATACAACAAGTAGTGTAGCAGGGGTCTTTCCCAATCTTTCTAGCATTTCTTGTCTTCTATCTGGTGCGATTTTGTAATTCAGCCTGTCTTTGTGGTTTCTGCTGAAAGTTTGATCTGCACATTGTGATGTGGTTTTTACATTTCCTCCCGGCAGATATGTACCCAGATTTTGGAGAAAAAGAAATGCAACTACACCGGGAAATGCACCTTTGCCCACAGCCCGGAGGAGAAGGACATGTGGATGTATATGAAGAACAACGACTGTGAGTTATTGAAGTCGTGTTTTAGCATTGCACTCATCACATTGTTGGATTCACCATGAACATATTTTACAAAAAGATCAACATTTAATCCCCCAAAACCAGAGGTATTATTTTTCTATTACTTGCATTCCTCCTTCTTTTACATACCTTCATTACCACAACACATTGAGTTTTGATATGTTGTGCTTTAACTTAGTTTTTCCATATTGTTAAGTGAATGCAGGAATATTAATTAAAAAAATATTAAATTTGTCAGTTCATATGCATTAGATTTTAATTTTGACTGACTTATTAAGATAAGTGGTCAAAATGTATGCTGACAACGTGTGTAAATGTATAATTTCTTATCTCATTTAAATAGCATTGTGCCCGATCATTCCTTTGGGTCTTGATTTGTTGTCTGCTTCCCACTGAACATCCTCAAAGTGACCACAGATCTGTGTATTTGTACCTGTAGTGCACGACATGCAACAGATGTACGACATGTGGCTGTCATTAAGTGCCAACAACCACCAAGCAAACGGAGCCGCGCTCACTCAGTCCACATCGGAGGAAAAATACATCGTCATGCCGACTGACTACGCTGAGCCAATGGTGGGTTCACATTTGATTTTCGAGCATCGCCACCAAACAAAAAAGGTCCACGTGTTGAGTGTTTCACATGACGATGGGTTCCTCCTCTTTGTATTTCAGACTGGCTTGTACTGCCGTCTGTGTGGTCGGCATAGTAACGGCGAGCGGCAGTGGCAGCAGCACATCTCATCTGAGAAGCACAAAGACCGAGTGTTCAGCTGCGAGGGAGAAGAGGAGGCTCTGACCTGGAACTACCGCTTCCCTGGACCCTGCTTTGACCTCTGCCCCAAGTAAGACCACTGACCCTGGATCAGTTTTTGAATTGGAACCATTGGTGGAAGAAGTATTCGGATCTTATACTTAAAAAAGCCATATAATGCTCATTTTCAGGTTCATATTCATATATATTTAGTGTCTCTACTGTGAGATGCTTACATGCATTTTTCTCATACTGCCTGTGCTGCAGCACCTCTTTTCACCCTCTGTCTGAAACCAGAGCCCAGTCTGCTCTGATTGGTTAGCTGGCCAGCTCTGTTGTGATTGGTCAACTGCTTAAAGATCTAAATAGAAGCACAAGTGTTATTTAGTCCTTTCACTATGTTATGGAAGTAAACAAAGGAGTCCAATGGAGGTGTTTCAGGCGGGGGGGGGAAGTGTGGGGGGAACACAGGGATTTTAGCCTTTGCAGACCATTTACATTCACAAAAACCTATATAACACACTACTGAAGGGGAAACCCCAAAAAGCATAATAGGGCCTCTTTAAAGAAGATTAATTATCGATATTTGGTTTCAAATGAGTGCTAATGTCGCTGTGTCTGCTTGAAGTGTAAATAATCACAATAATCAACTTTAGAAGTGTGTATTTAGTCGATGTTTACAGCTTGTGATGTTCATGTTTGACAGGCTGGATGGTGGCTGTCCTGAAGGCGTGAGCTGCGACTTCGCCCACAGCGTGGAGGAGCTGCAGGAGTGGACCGAGAGGCGGGACTTCCTGCGGCAGAAGCTAGCCAAAGCCAGAGAAGACATGCTAGTCATGCCCGACGAGTTTGACTTCGGGAAGTTCAACTTTCTACTTCAGGACTGAGTAGATTTATTTCACGTTATGAGCCTTAACTGCCAAACTAGCCTGTCTTTTTATTAAACATGACCAAATCAAACTAGCAGTGTTAAAAATTGCACTACCAGAAGAACCTTTCAAACATGCCATAAACCCCTTAATTTCAAAATGGTAAATATTTTATTTTTAGATGTTTCTTATCCCTGTTTTGAGAGCCACTTTAGCGCGTGTCTGTTAGTCAAACATCAGTAAAGAAAGTGCTGTGAAGTAAGGCTCATATTGGTGCCACTGTATAAAAGACACAGCAGATACAAACACACACCAGAATATTCAAAAAGGATCATATTGTCCCATACATGCAGCCTTTTATTTGCTCAAACTAATGTGAAATTCACACACATGCATTGAGTTGTTATTTTCCCTTATGTTGTGTCCTGTTTTATAAAGGGAGTTTTATTATCAAGAGTGCGTTCAGGTTCAGACTACAGTTCACTCGGAGATTATGTGTATAAAAGCCTCAATAAAGCCATGTAACAAAACCAACACGTGTTTTTGGGTTGTATAATTTTGATTTAGTGTTTTAATGTGTTTGTTATTGTGGTTCAAACTAACCATCGGCACAGTCTGGTGTTGCAACATTGATTAATCTAACCCTAACTATGAGACTGACAAGATGTTTCAAGTAAATGAAAAATAAACGTTATGTTGCACTGTTTCTTTTGTCAGACCTGTGAACTATTAACTTAATGCATTGAATATTTTCAGTATGGCATTGCTACCAGTGGTGGAAAGTAACAGAGACAAGTACTCACACAACCAGGGTCACTTAAGTATTTTTATTTGATGGTAATCCGAACTGTATATGGAGTAGAAGTATAGGAGCAATGTTGTACTTTTTTCACCAAATGCATTTTTTGTTACAAGTTATTTAGCTAAAGATTCGAATTTAAGATTAGATCAAATAAACCTTTATTAATCCCTGTAGGACAATTCAAGGGGCGGGGCAGCAACGGCAATAAGAGACAAAGGAAACGGAGCATAGGGCAGGAGAGAGCACACAGGAATAATAATAGTCACATTTAAATAAGAAAATAATATTGTAAGACTGTATTAAACAGCATGTATATACAAAATAATTATCAAATATAAGAAACTTATATAAAGTATATGCAAGTGTGCAAATCCACAGTAGCAAAGTAGGAAGAAACATATGGGGCAGGTTGATTGATTTGTTAGTTTATTGAACAGAAATTGCACCACAGGCTTTTTTGCATCAGTAGTCTCTTGACAGATGAACACCCTAAAAATAATGAATGTTTAAATTAATAAACATGCAAAATAGATATTAACTATACTGGAAATGTTAATAAAAACAAACAATATTGCAAGAAAATACTTTTTGGGGGAGTTTAAACCTTGACTGTACAGCCTGATTGTTTTTCTTGGATAAGCTACCAAGCAGTTAAAGGTCAATACTTCTTCACAGCTGAAAATAAATACAAATTTCTGCTTTAAATCCACGTTTTATTACTGCATTACTCGTATTAGGTCACTAGATGGCGCTGGAGCTCGCGTGCAGCTGGCCTCGAGACTTCAGACTTTCCTTTCACATGCTGCCGTGCGTGCAGGGAAACAAATGTGCTCAGCTGAGCGGTGTTGTTGTTAGGTTCCTGTTAGAGCCCGCCCCGTGCTCTCTCATTGGCTCCGCGGTGTGACTGACAGAGCCGTGCACCACTGTCATCCAATCAGCGTGGTCCAGAGGGGGCGTAGCTCCCCTCGCTCTTTGCTTGGACACATGCATGAATCCCCGTGATATGACTTGCTAGAAAGTTGGTTAAAAGTGACTGAAATCTGCTGCTGACTCACAGTTTGAGGGACTCTCACTCTGTTGGACGCTTTTTAGATTTCAGAAGATATTTCACCCGTTGCTCATCATGTCAACAACTAGCCACAACTTCTTCGGAGACAGGAACGAATTGCCAGATCTGCTCAAATCCTTGGCTGAATATCCCTTCTGCTTTGCTGACTTTGAGGACACCGGTAAAACTATTTTCTATTGTTTAATTGAGAAAAATAACATACTTTAAACGTGTCAAAGCATTGTACTTGGTATTATATAGTTTGTATGTGCAAATTGAATCTACTATTATACTTAAATATTTAGGTATTGAGTCATTATATGCTACTATAGCCAACTAAAGCTAATATTGCACTACTCCACTGCTTTTATGTGACTAAACATATGAATTTCCAAAGAATAAACTAGTAGTATATACATTAGCTGAAGAGTTAAAACATGTTTTCTGCCTTTCTTAACTTTATGTAGCAAATATGATTATAACTGCATTGCATATGTGTAATAAAACATACATAAATTAATCTTGTATCCTTAAAATAAGCTTAGCTCGATCGCTTCACACATCACCGCTGATTATAATACAATCAGTGTCCATTCTGCTGCTAATGGGTACTGTACTTCTGATACCTAAAGTAGTTTCTCTGCAAAAGTACTACTGAATACAATTAAGAATGCATGAATAGTATTTTAACAATCAAACACTCTTGCATTGCTCTTTTTAAAGTAAAATGTCCCATCACTACTCCAATATATGTATTTAAAGTTAGTAGATCTAGAGTGGACATCTTAAATCCAGGTGTATGATCTACTGCTAAATTGATCATAACAATAGGATTAGATATAGTCTGGTTTCTCATTCACTCCTTCTGCTGGAGTCAGGACCTTGTATTGATTACTGAAGTACGATGGTCGTGTTATGTTGAAGTTCACCCTGTTGCAGCTTTGAGCCTAAGTGAAAGTGTGTCAGCCAAAAAACTGCAACTGATGTAACAACCCTGAAACAGCCTCACTCTCAGTTTCATCACATCATTCGTCTCTTTTTACACCCTGTTCTTCTTGAATACTTTCTTGCGTTTCTTGTTTGTTTGTTGACATTTTTATCTGATATTTGACAGTAGCAACAAAAGGAAAACACAAGTTGGTAAACACAAGTATTCTGATTGTGATAAGGTGACAGAGAACAGGGGTTAGAGCAGATACAATCGCATGTTATGGTGACATGGACCACCTGGCCTCAGGGGTGCCCCTATACTGCATATAACATTACTGTCTATATACATACTATACATTGTCTATGTATAAACAGTGACCCTTTGTAACACTGAAAACCAAACTACTTTACACTTATTCGCTATGTCCTACTATGCTACTATTCTCCAAATGGATCTTTAAATTATAAAAACTGTATAGTATTAACTGACTAAATGATACCATGAACTCATTGTATTCCAATTAAGAATTTGAATACCACTCTATAAAACACTCAAGGGCCCTTCAGGGCAGGGTTCATAAACAGTGTGTGTGTGTGTGTGTGTGTGTGTGTGTGTGTGTGTGTACATACGAGGAATGTGACTTGGTGTCATGGTGCATACATAA